GAGGTCACACTGAATCCCACCATGAGGTCACACAGAATCCCGCCATAAGGTCACACAGAATCCCGCCATAAGGTCACACAAAATCCCACCACAAGGACGCACAGAATCCCACCATGAGGCCGTACACAGAATCCTCCACAAGGTCACATAGAATCCCACTATGAGGTCACACAGAAACCCCCCACCCACAAGGTCACATAGAATACCTCCACAAGGTCACATAGAATCCCTCCACAAGGTCACACAGAATCCCACTATGAGGTCACACAGAATCCCACTATGAGGTCACACAGAATCCCACTATGAGGTCACACAGAATCCCACAAGGTCACACAGAATCCCACCATAAGGTCACACAAAATCCCACTATGAGGTCACACAGAATCCCACTATGAGATCACACAGAATCCCACTATGAGGTCACACAGAATCCCACCATACGGTCACATAGAATCCCTCCACAAGGTCACACAGAATCCCACAATAAGGTCACACAGAGCGCCGCCATGAGGTCACACATAATCCCATCGCAAAGTCACACAGAATCCCTCCACAAGGTCACACAGAATCCCTCCACAAGGTCACACAGAATCCCTCCACAAGGTCACACAGAATCCCAATATGAGTCACACAGAATCCCACCACAAAGTCACATAGAATCCCTCCACAAGGTCACACAGAATCCCTCCACAAGGTCACACAGAATCCCACCATGAGGCCACACAGAATCCCACCATGAGGTCACACAGAATCCCACCATGAGGTCACACAGAATCCCACCATGAGGTCACACAGAATCCTCCACAAGGTCACATATAATCCCACTATGAGGTCACACAGAACCCCCCCCCCCACAAGGTCACATAGAAACTAAGAATACCTCCACAAGGTCACATAGAATCCCTCCACAAGGTCACACAGAATCCCACTATGAGGTCACACAGAATCCCACTATGAGGTCACACAGAACCCCACCATGAGGTCACACAGAATCCCACCATGAGGTCACACAGAATCCCACTATGAGGTCACACAGAATCCCACCATAAGGTCACACAGAATCCCACCATAAGGTCACACAGAATCCCACCATAAGGTCACACAGAATCCCACTATGAGGTCACACAAAATCCCACTATGAGGTCACACAGAATCCCACTATGAGATCACACAGAATCCCACTATGAGTCACACAGAATCCCACCATAAGTCACATATAATCCCTCCACAATGTCACACAGAATCCCCACATAAGTCGCACAGAATGCCG